GTTTAGGGTTTAGGGTTTGATGATGCAACGTTTGAGGGGGCTTCGGAGAGGTCCGGCTGCAAGGCTTGCGGTTGGACTCTCAGTTTGACAGGAAGGACCACCAAAACTATCAATCTGAATGGTGTTTTCCTTCGCTTGGCAGAATCTTGAACCCTGAACTCTAAAGCTCCGGTTATACCCCGGATCCTGCTCCAGTTTAAGATCCAGAGAGTATCTGTAGAATCACCTTCATGGTCTCTAAACCTTAGCAGACCTAAACCCTGAGGAGAATCTCCCATGTCCCTCTGACATGATCTGAAACAACCCAAGTGCAGCAACTCCGAGCTAATCCCTAGAAGACTCCCATAACAATCCACAGAACACATCTCGGCAACTCTAGCCAAGTGCTTCAAGATCTGGGCCTGCGGGTGTAGGGTGTAGAATGAGATTCTAAGGGTTCATTATACTATGATTGCAACGGGGAGCCCTAAGGAGCCACATTCCTAGTTATTCCGACCTCGATATTTGGCCATAACGTCCTCAGCCTGATCCGTCGAAGTGGAGAAAACTCCTGGGTGGTTCTTGGAGGTCCATGGACAAGTACATTAAAGTTTTCCTGCTGATTCTTGCGACTTTTGCATACTAAAACTCAAAGCTATGATCCTCGGACTTTCTATACCAAAACCTGAAAATGCATTTTCCCACAGCTAAGCCAAAAAAATGTGTCAGGTGCCCAAACTAAAAAAACATATGCTCAAGAAGCGGCCTAGACTCGTCCCACTCTCCAAGACACATCGATGCCATTCGTGGCCCGGAAGAGACCTAAGGCTTAGTTTTTGGTTTAGGGTTTTTTTTTCAGGGTTTTGGGTTTAGGACAGTGTAACAAGTATGGTTTAGTTTAGAAATCGCGGCAGGCTACAACTTTCAAAATAGAAACTTCAACCCGCAGCTTTCTGAGTCATGGGTTCGTCTGCATGTGTTATGCAAGGGCTAGTCATGCTAAGTCGGGGGGTTGAGAGGCTGAAGAAGGACTGTTGGGTCGAGGGGGTTTGGAAAAGATAATGCAGCTCTGGGGCGCGTAGGTGGTTTTTCAAACATTCTGGGCCCTTATAATACCCGATTTGTATACGTCCATGCATACATACATACATACATACATAATTACCTACAAACACGCATGCATACATAAACAGGCACATAAATACATTCTTGCATGCATGCACACATACATGACATGCCCTTACATACGCACATGCGTACATACATGTATACATACATGCAGACATACATACTTATATACATGCGTACTTACTTACTTACATACATACATACATGCATACATACATACATACATACATACATACATACATACATACATTTTACATACATGCACACTCACACCTACGTACATGCATGCATGCATGCCTGCATGCATGCATGCA